CTCTCTCTCTCTCTCTCTCTCTCTCTCTCTCTCTCTCTCTCTCTCTCTCTCTCTGTGCAACCATAATATGGCTAGATTTGACAAAGCTCGTATAATTTGCTCACAACTTTCCTAAGGGATGTTCAGTTTTTTTTTGTTTTTTTTTTTGGTGTTTGTTGTTGTTGTTGTTGTATGGATGCTCAGATTCTAGACTTCGTCAAAGTGGGAAGAGCTCAACTATGAACTACAATGGGATCTCAAGCATCTTTCCTTAAACCACCAGTACATGGCTCCAGCCAACTTGAGAATAGCGACTGATGATTTCAAAAAGTTCGGATGAACAGTGCTGCCGGACCAAAATGGCTGGTGGCGCCAGCCAAAAGCAAACAAAAACGCCGCGCTGGTGTTTCGGCAAAGCCTAGCATGCAGGGGGGTCCAAGGATCGTGAATTTTGCCTTGGATGTACTGGTGATTTAAGGAATGCCGAGGTCCTAGAATCGTTCATATCGGGGGTCGGCACACGGGTCGGTACTTTTGGTTAAAGGCCAGAAATAGGGGGTCGAAAGTCACGTCCCTAGCCCTGAGAAATGTGGGAGACAGTGCCTCGGGTCAAGGGGGGTACCAACCAATATCTGAGTCAAGAGCTGTGTCCAGTAGCCCAACGTGAGGCAGTTGACTCTTGGAAAATGAAGAGTCAACCCAAGCACGGGATCCCAGGCCCAAAGTCAAAGTCAACCCGCTGGTCAGCCACGGCCGTCGATCAGATGCACATCAGCGGTTCTCTGCAGGTATCCAGAAGATTGCCATGCAAGTGGGACACGAGGGAAAGCTGGGACTGCGCTGCATCCAGGCCATTGATTTTCAGATCATCTGGGCCGTCGACCCAAGGAGACTGGGAGGCTGGTCAAGGTGAGGCAACACTAGATAGAGTAGACCCAGCCACTGTGGATATCATTTTGCTTTGCGCTTGCTCGTGGCCAAGTGCTACACCGTGAGGCTGCTGGAGATTATGCTGGTGCCAGCGCTGCTGGGTGGGCGCCAGCATCAGAGGAGATTCTGCTTGAGATGCCAGTGCCGCCATAGCTACAGACATCGTGTATGGTTGCGGAGGAGGAAGGATAAGGGCTGAGAGACTGTAGAGGAGGTTGAGGGGAAGCTTACCTGAACTGACCTGGTGATGTCGTGTGTGATTGGCTGCTTATCTCTCCAAGAAGGCAAGTGAGATCTGCACCATCCTCCCTCCCTGTTTGATTACTAATGTGGATGGAGGGTGGGCGCCCTGCTGTAATCTGCGCATTGTGTACGTCAGAGGACATCAGTAAGAGAGACTGCATTGCTGAGGTGGTGATAGTTGGGGATGCCCGAAAAGGAAGTGGGCTGAAGAGATTTTGTGCATTCTGAATGCCTCTCCTCTTCCTCCATGTCTATTCTCCCCACCTTGTCCTTCATTTCTCCGGAGTTCTATGACATTTAATTGAAGTTGGAGATATCTGATATTCTATTTCAATGGCTGGGCTCAGATTTGCATCACGACATTGACTGGCTTCTCATGCGATCAGGTTCATTACACCCTTTGAGCCCCATTTATAAAATTTTATCCCCCTCTTCCGCCATCCCCCCCCCCCCCCCCCCCCACAAAAAAAAAAAAAAAAAAACGGGCACAGCACTGAAACACAAAAACGAGCCCGGATTTGGCCTCCTTTCTGTGGGTGCAGAAAATTCCTCCGATGCACAGAAATCCCTGATCTTTTAGATGCCCTGGGTACCTGGGACAACCTGCCAAGGTGCCTGTGCCTGACCGGCTGCTTCTTGCAGCCTAACGTTTTCAAGTATTACTTTCTTTTCCTTTTTTTCCTTTTTCTTCCTTTTTTCTTTTGCAATTAAATGATGAGTTCTCATGTCAGAGGTGTACATGGGTGGTGGAGGTGTTTAAAACTTTGCAGGTTGGATTTACCAAGGAAGGCAAGCTCCTTGCTCTCGATCTGGAGTTGTACTGCAATGGAGGAAACTCGATGGATCTCTCACGAGGAGTCATGGAACGGGCGGTGCTTCATTCCGATAACGTTTACGTAATTCCAAATATCAGCGTAAAAGGGAACGTGTGCGTCACAAATCAACCGTCAAACACAGCGTATCCTTCTTCCTAACGTCCGCCCGCTTGTAAAGAACCTCTCTTTCCGTGATCGCTTCTTTCTTCCTCGTCTCGTCTCTCTTCTTCAGCTTTCCAATTTTGTTTACGTTTTTTTTTTAACTTTTTTCTTTTTCTTTTTTTTTTCCTTTGCCCCTTGTTCTTCGGATTACAGACCTTTGGGTGAGATGATGTACCGGTTGGATTTACCAAAGAGAAATAACAAAAGTAATTAACAAAGAGAAAGCAAGAAGCTCCTTGCTCTTGTTGATCTTGTTGATCTGGAGTTTTGCATTGCAGTGGCAGAAACCGCTGGAGCTCTGCGGCAATGACAGGAACTCGATAAAGCTCTCCCGTGCAGGCTAAGAAGGATACAAAATTACAAATGGGTGAATTGCATGCGGCCGTGAAAATCTTTACGGGATTCAAAGCATTTCAAATTCATATGTCGTCAACAGAGCTGCCCAGTAAACCATAGGCAGAGCGGCCGTGACTGTTTCGTCGTTGTTTCACCGACTCATCAGGAGGCTGTATAATACTATAAGGGTAAAAGGGAGAGAGTGTGGGCGTTTTGAATTTGATTTCGGTGTGTGTGTGTGTGTGTGTGTGTGTGTGTGTGTGTGTGTGTGTGTGTGTGTGTGTGGGTGTGTGTGTGTGAGAGAGAGAGAGAGAGAGAGAGAGAGAGAGAGAGAGAGAGAGAGAGAGAGAGAGAGAGNAGAGAGAGAGAGAGAGAGAGAGAGAGAGAGAGAGAGAGAGAGAGAGAGAGAGAGTGCAATGACTTGCTTGTTCCAGTGGCCTGTAGCCTCTCTCGTCGAGGCTGTACTATAGGTAGGATAGATTCAAAATTTTGTTTGGCTGCGGGCTAACCGAGAGACCTGCCTGTAGGGAAATCCGAGAGGGATATATTTCCAAATTCGGGAAAATATAGGCCCGTACTAACTAGAATTTCCTACAGCTACCCTAACTGCGAATAGCAGGCCCGGGCTACCCGTAGGACAGACAGGCCCTATGGGCCTAAGCTGATAGACGGTCCTATACTACCTATAGCCTATAGCCGGGTAGGAAAAGGCCCTAGAGACCAAAACTGAAACGGTACCGGTTGGTCCAGTCAGTCCGGTCTAGGTTGTGTCTAGTGTGTGTGTGTGTGTGTGTGTGTGTGTGTGTGTGTGTGTGTGTGTGTGTGTGTGTGTGTGTGTTTGTGTGTGAGAGAGAGAGAGAGGGCATTACAAATGGAATGACGAACACAGCTGCCATGTTTGTATCCTTCTTCCTCTTCTTCTCGAGTCCACAGAGAGCCCCTCTCCTTGATGATCCTCCTCCCACCGCCCCCCACACGCATACCCCACCTTTATTACATTTTCATCTCTCTCCTAAAGTCTTCGTCAATTTCCCAGCCTTATTTTTCATTTGCCAAATTATTTGATTCTCAGATTTCTGAAGCTCAAATTTTGAAAGCCTTCTTGGGTGAAAGGGTGATAGTACCGTGATACCCCTCAACTTTAATTTTAAAGATTTCTCTTCCTTTTTTTCTTTTTACTTGTATGAACTGTGATGGAAATGTGAACCCAGCGTCTTGGGGTAAAAGGGGGGCCCTGGGTATGTTGAGCCAGTTTCTTGTGAAAGTGAGTGTGCTGCGACAAAAGTAGGGCCCTTGTGAAAAAGAACTAGGGGTCTCTCTGCAACACAATATGTCGAATCAAACGCCAGACATAGCCATGTTTTTTCCTTGACTGCTGCATTTGCCCTCTGTTTGCGTATCCGGTCATCGTGGTGCCTACCCCATTGATGGTGCATTAAATTTCCATCACAATGTCGCTTGGTACATGGCCTATGGCGCGGTCATTGTATTGCCGTGTGATGTCGTATTTGCTTGGTCTTTACCGAAGATTCCGCGGGTTTGGCGGTCCTCAAGGAATGTTGGTTGCAGAAATGTGGATGGATCACATCGCTGCGACTCTAGGGAAGCCAACGGAAGAGATTCGGGTAAGTTGTCGGCCGGTTCGGAGG